TGGCGTATCATGAGATTCCTTCGTCGGAATTGCGCCAGACGACGTACGATGGCGCACATTGGTCTTACGACTTCAAACCTGGATTGTGTCTCCGCGCGACATGGAAATGTCTGGGCTTCTTGGTTTTATTAACGTTAGTAAATCTCACGACAAAAGCCCTGTCCCGAGGTTTCCAAAAACTAGGCGAGGATTAATTGCATGCTTGCGGTCGTCGAACGTCTGCGGAAGTATCGCTATAAAATCTTCTTCCGGTTGAAAAGAAGATTGCATCGAGAGCTACTTTCAATTCTCAAATATCAAAAGTACTAGACCTCCCTCCCATGGGTTTGTTCTGTTGACTATGTTTGGCTGTTGTTTAGACCAAAAGCAGAAGGCATTACCCGGATGACTCTTTTTCCAAACATGGTCAGGAACTGCACCATGTGTTCGAGAAACTGAAATTTTGGATGTTTGACAAAGCTCGTCATGCACATACAGACCGCAAATTGAGTACTCAAAAGACAGATACCTGATTTCCATGTCCGTCCGAAGACGTTACTCAGATGTCGTAGGACAAATGTCCTAAGAACGCTAGAACGAGGAAGTACATGAAGCCAGTGGTATTGTGCTACTAATATGTTCGACCCATATACACCTCGTTCAGTTCACCAAAAATTATCACATCATACCCGATGTGTTCGAGGTTCCGTGTCCTGCGTAAGGTAATATCGAAAAGACCCACGGCCACATCTCATGTCGCTAGAAGCCCAGGATCGTAACCATACGACTTACCGCCGTACAAAAATGCACCTAGTCTCTTTCAACCCTTAAAACCAGTACATCCCCTCCGTCTCCCCACCCTCCTTCCCAACCCTCAACTCATCCAAACACTTCTTCAATCTTTGCGCAGTCGCCTTCCCATACGCCTCATGCTCATTGAAATCCGGCATCTCATCCTTCCTCGTGATATCCGTGCGCACCCAAACCATATTCTCATCTCCGCAAGAAGCTTTGATCTGCGCAAACATCTCGTCGTTGAAGCCACCTCCAAGAGCCACAGCAGCAGGTCGCTGGCCGTAGTTCATGGAACCGATGTTGGGGGTAGGGTTGGCTGGTGTTCTGGATAAGATTATGTGTGGGATGGAGATGATTGCTTCTTCGACGGAGAGGTTGATGTGGATTACTGGATGGATGTGTTAGTTGGATACGTATGTGTGATGTGTTGCGCAAAGTATCGCGGCATACCATCGTATTCTGGTTCCACGCCCTCGCGAACAGCCTTTGCGATATTTGGGTTCCTGCCACAGACTACGATCGGGATGGCTGACATTGCAGACGTGTAGAACCTCGGACCCAGTCGATGGAGTGATGAGTTTTGTGCGGTGCCGGAGAAAGTCGATCGAAAGATAGGTTGATATACTCGTTTGACGTTCATGTGGTGCTGACCAGATTATGGAGAGACAGCATCTAGATGTGTGCTGACGTGGGCGTGGCTTCGTGTTGTAATGCCCCGGGGCTATGGTGTCTGGTTAAATCCGACGCTAGGACGAGATGGTCTCCAGCTTAGGGTGGAGATGATGTTGTGCAACATCCATCATCTTCGACACCGTTCCCATCGACATGCGCGTCGCTAAATCGTCTCCGACATGTACCCGATGTGCGAAGACGCAGGCCGAAGGTGGTGACGTTCTGGTCACTGGCTGTGCGTCTTTTGGCACGTCCCCCCGATGTCGTCAGCAGCGGGGGCCCAAAGCATCGCGAACGTTACTATGAGTTGAACTTATAAGGTCGCCTCATTCGGTTTCAAACGTTGATTAACCAAGCAAGTAGCCGACCGTAGGATTAGAAGAGTACTAGCCTCCGACATCACCCTGGTCGCCACAACTGTGCCGCAACCCACCCCGCGCTTGATATCGCATGTGACTGCAATTGCCCGCCAACTATCGCATAGTGGAATGTACGCAATGTCACAGGAAAACAATCGCTTTTTCCCAACTGTATGCTCTTACGAGGTCTTTCATGGGCATGAATGCGCCTCGTTCTATCCTCAATCACACATCTTGTCAGGTATCCGATGAACAGCAACACAATGGCTACGAAACAGCGACTTGAAACAAGTCTCCCCATTGTAGGCTCAACATTCGTCCCTAAAGGAGAAGAAGATGATGGTTTGTGTGAAGGATGCCACGTACTATCGAAAGAGGGGAAGCCTCCAATTCATGAGACTTACCAGTACCGCGCCTTGCGCAGGCCACAAGAGACCATCAGGCTTCTAGCATGGCCCGCAGACCCCGATGATATAGCCTATCTGCTCGAAGCTTCGATCTCAGACCTTCCCTTATACGAAACGGTGTCATACGCTTGGGGCCGTGGAACCGGATGGCCACTGGAACTGAACAATAACATCGGCACGGCCACGGGCAGCACTATCCATCCTTCTTCCGACGTCGACAAGTCGACTTTAAACGTCAGCGTCACGGTCATTCATATCCTTCACTTTCTCCGGCCCGCAATAGGTTGGCGTTTGCTCTGGATCGACGCAATATGCATCAATCAAAGCGACAACGCAGAGAAGTCTTTCCAGATTCCTATAATGGATCAGATCTATTCAAAGGCGGAGAGGGTCTTGATCTGGTGCCCACCATGTAGGATTCATCTTGCCAAAGACGTTGAGATGGCAATCGATAAGCTCAACAGCTGGAGAGGTCGTGAGGCCGAGATTCTCGAAGCTCTCAACAACGGATCATTCGGTGATGCAGCCTCTGAGGATCGACAGGATTGGCGGCCATGGAAATTACCGCCTACACATAAGTTCCACATCTCGAAGGCATGTACTGATGCTCTGAACTGCGTAATGCGTTTGCCTTGGTTTGAGCGCGTCTGGACTCTGCAAGAGCTGATCTTGGCTCGATAGGCAGTGATATATTTTGGCTCCAACACGCTGGAATGGCAGGAACTTATCAGTGCTTGCCTCCAAGCGCATAACTGCGATTTTCTATTGGAATGCAGAAGACTTGCAGAACTCGATGTCTTGCGTAACCTTTACATGGAGTCTGGATCGGTCAGTAAGTCAGCATGTGGGAGGGAACTCGCGTATCATAAAACGCTGTAAGTCCTCTTACGTGCGATCCATGTGGAGGTTCTGCATCAATACTTACGCGAACGTGCTGACTGCTCGCAGTGCAAATATCCTGCGCATCATTCGCCCCCGCAAAGCCACGAACCCACGCGACAAGGTCTATGGGATAACGGGGTTATTGAGCCGACATGATATAGCCAGCCCAGGTCTCATAGTGGATTACAGCCTTCCCGTCCTAGATGTATCCATCTCTGCCTGCGTTGCATGTATGGAGGTTCAAGGAGCTCATGCAAACATCACATTCCTCCAAGACGCTGGCTCAGTGGCGACAACCAACCAGAAGAGGCCACATGCTCGGGTCACCACAGAAGGAGAATATTGGCCGTCTTGGATCCCAGACTGGACAGAGGCGTTACCAAGATCATCGGGTCTACTGATGGGATGTCTACAAGCCAACGGTTCTCAAGTCTCGAAAGGGAGGGCGTCAAACGCGACCATTCTCGCCCAACACGAGCATATCGGCCGGGTGGTAAAAGGTCCTTGTTTACGGGTTCAGGGATTACGCGTTTTGACGATTCAAGGCTTCATACCCCGTCGTGGAAACGACTCCTTCAGCGACTACTATGATCTCATTGGCACAGCACATTCCTTGTACTGCAACACATCGTTGTCTACCCAGCACGCGTATTCGTATGTCGCGAGTGCGCATATACATCCGCGGCGAGATGATCAAGTATTGCCGCAAGTCACAAGCATTTGGTCTTATATCAAAGACGATGTAACATCTCCGGACTCTGATTTGGGGAAAGACAATGCTGAGATCAAGTCCACGATGGGAAACAGTACGACAGCCAAACCAATCTCCCGTAGAATGCATGGCAGAATCGAACTCAATGTCCCAGAATCTCTCAACCGAAAGCTAGATCAGGTCGAATGTCGCGCCAACGACGGAAAGAGAAGTTCGAGCTTCAAGTGTTTCGTGAGCACAACTGGCTTTATGGGCCTCGTGCTTCCTGACGCACAGCCCGGAGACGAGATCTTCATCTTATTTGGGCTCGAGATGCCCTTCGTAGTCCGACCAGATGCTGAACCTGGGCATTATCAGCTGATCGGCGAATGTTTTGTCTTAGGTCTAATGGAGGGTGAAGCGATGGAAGGACTAGAGGATTCGCAGGTGGAAGATGTCTATCTGTGTTGAACAAAGGGTTGCCCGCGATAAACGAAGGTTATTTGAGAGGCGTTCGCTCCGAAAGAAACTCTCTGGCAACGCGCTGCGTATCTTTTGTAGTAGGATCTTAAAGCGACCTATCCTGTTTTCGATTGTCCCTGCGACGTATAGTGTCCAAATGTATGTGTGTCTTGCCTCACCATGCTCACACGCGGCGCAAAAAGGTTGCCACGGCCCTCAACCACGCATCACGACGCGCCAGCTCTTGACACCTTCGCTCTTGGCCAAAAGGAAGACACTGCCGGCTTGCCAAAAAGGCAAAAAGAAACGTTCAGGGCCGAACCGGAGTCGAACCGGTGACTTCGGGAAGACGGTTTTTGGTCAACTGCAGTCCTACACTCTACCACTGAGTTACCGGCCCGTGAGTTGTTTCGATGAATGATTTGACAATCTGTAATAATATATCATTGAGTGCTGCGGATCGACGTGGATGCGGTGAGGAAACGAAGGAACGAGGTGGAGATCGAGACGAGGCAGGTGAGGCAGTAGCGAAGGAGGGGCAGTGGGGCCAGCGCTGAAGGACGGTGATAGGCTGCCACGCTGCGAGCCCCAAACTGTGCGCTAGATACGATCCTGTCTAAGCGTGGTCACTGTGCCTAAGTACGCTGAGCATACAGTTTGAGAGGAAAGTCAAACGCGTTACCCTGGTGAAGAACGCGAATATATGTGTGGGTATCATCCTGCGCATCGCATCGCCATGCCACTCGAAACTATCTAGAACTCCAGCTCCTCTACTTCCATCCCGCACTCTTCACACCTCTTCTTCGTCATCCCCGTTTCCGGGTCAAGCACACTCCTGCCCCATTCATGCTCGTGTCGATCATACCTTCCCTTTATCTTCTGCCCGAATTGCGCATCGCCGTTATCGCCTGCTAACCGCGCCCGCTTGTATGCTTCTACCCTCGTCCTCTTCTTCAGGTCTTCGAGCTTGTTCTTAAACTTCTTTTGCTTCCTTTCCTTGCTCACGACCTGTCGCTTCGCATACTCCTCATCCAACGCCTCTGCTGAACCCCATTTCTGTGGGCTGAAGGCATAGGCTTCGACTTGAAGTCGTAAGAACAGTTGCATGGGGTGGAAGAATTGTTTGTGTGGGTTCGGCCGTTCGAGATGGGGTAGAAGTTCTTCGTCTTTGAGTTCGGGGTCGGTAAGGAGGTAGTCGTCTCGCGCTTCGGTTTTCGTGAGGAGGGAGTATTTGTCTGGGAGTTTCTCCCTGCAGATACTGCATACGCCGATACCGAATATGTCCTGCCACTTCCAGTCGATCTCCAGACTGTTGCATTCTCGACATTTGCCCTTGACGTCGCGCTTGCCGTCGCCGTATTTGCCTTTGAATGTACCGCTTTCGATCTCGGCGTTTTCAGCAGCCTCGAGCAGAGCGGCTTCCTCGTCTTCTTCTTCCTTGCCATTGACGGTGTCCAAGATAGAGATACCTGGCTCATAAGGTCCGGCCCGGTTGGCACGAAGCTTCCGTCTTATGCGCTCCCTCTCCCACTCTACCATTGACACGCCCTCTGGCTTCTGTTCCTCATTCTGTTGGCCCTTGCGCATAGCCTTATTATGCGGGTCGTCTACGGTACTCAGGAAGCCACCCTTCGTGTCCGTCATTTTGCTGAAATCGTAGTCGATGAAGTCTGATCTCGCGTACTTCTTCGCCGGCTGAATATAATCGTTCGAGGGTGGTTGTATGAAGCCATTTTGGTCGCGCTTCTGAGGGGATGCTGCAGCCGCATTACGAAGGGTGGCTGGAGTTTGCGCGGCGGTGATGGACGAGTATGCGCGCTTCGCACCTGCGACCGGCGCTGGTGAAGGTTTTGAAGCTTGTGTCTGTTGTGCAGCCGCCTTTGCCCTCAGACGAGCCTCTTCCATGCGCCTGATTTGCTCTGGAGTGGGCGGATTTGGCGGGAGCTTGCCCGCTGAGCGAGTCGCTCGTGGCGGCGTTGATGGTCGTCCGGACATGTTGAGATGATGGGAGGGTTCAGATGTGGTTGTGGTACGCTCGCTCGTACTCGAGTGAATCAGTCAAGAGTTGCCTGACAGAAGGGCTAGAGGCGCGCAAGTGGCAAGTGTCATCGGGGTTAGAGCGATGCGGAACCGGGACCCTTGTTCCTGAGCAATGATGTACGCCAAGAGATCTCACGATCTGTACCTTCCGATGCGCGTCTCAAATCACTATCCACATGCCAATGAAGTCTGCAAAATCGTTTCCAATCTTCCATGATGACATATTTGTCACATCCGGAAAAGGGCGGTTTGCCATGCTGCGCCCTTACCAATCCCCTATGACTCTTACGTGTGGCTGTGAGCGGCACAATTCACAGCGGCTGTCATGACGAACCATGGGACTCTTCACAGAGTGGACCCAGCACACAGTGCTGCTTAGTTTAATGACCAAACATCCCGCATAATGATCTTGCCATCATCTCTCAACACACCATTTCCTCTAGAATCATGTCAGACGCGAGCACACGTGCGCACGTGGCGAGCGCATCGGCGGCCTCGCTAATCCCTACTGCCGATCCCCAAGAAAATGTCCAAACCTCACCACCGGAGGACAGCGAGTACAGCAGCGACGAACCCACGACCGCAGCCGCAAGACGAAGGAAGCGAAAACAGCTTCGCAAAGAAGAGCGCAAGCAAGAGAAGCAAAGACACGATTCCGCCCTCCCTACGCCCACGCATTCCGACACCGAGACAACAGCAAACCAACCCCGCAACCCTCCGAATAAGTCACCAAGGCAGAACCCAAAGTCTGCTGCTAAAACCGACGATTCGTCCCTGTCCATACCACAATCGCCCTCAATGGCCAAACCTGCCGCGCAAACCGCATACCCCCTCCTCATAGCCTCCATCGGCAACCCGGGCGCAACCTACGCCAACACGCTCCACTCCGCCGGCCACATCGTCACCTCCGCTCTCGCAGAAGCGAAACGCTATGGTCCCTTTCAAAAAGGCATGTCAGGCCTGATTTCAAAACCTCCAGCCACACACATGGCGTTCGGCTTGACCGGATACAGGAGAGTAGCGACAGATAAAGACGCAATGGACGACTGGACATTCTGGCAATCCACATCGTTGATGAACATAAGCGGGGGCTCAGTAAAAAAGGCGTATAGCGAGTGGTTGCGTGGTGTACGACAGGCTGCGGGGAGTGCGACGTTAGAAGGGAGATTGGTGGTTGTGCATGATGAGCTGGAGTCTGTGTTGGGAAAAGTTACAATTCGAGATGGTGGCGCGAGCGCGAAGGGGCATAATGGTATCAAGAGCTGTCAGGGAAGTCTGGGAGGCGTAAAGTGGTGGAGAGTAGGCGTTGGAATAGGGAGACCCGAAAGTAGGGATCCCAATGTGGTGAGCAAGTATGTGTTGGGCAAGATGACTTCGTATCAGCGGGCGCAGTTGGAGAAGACTACTATACCAGTATACAAGGCGTTGGAGGATATTGCTTCAGGTAAGAAGTAAGATCTTTGCACAGGGCGATGAAGCATTTCTAAGGCGTTTGGGATGATACCCTATGAGACACGGTGAAGCGCTCTGCATGAGAAGTAACAATACAATGTATGAATATTCAACTGAATGCTGTAAACGATGAAGCATGTGAAGGTATCGTGTGATAAACCAGAATCCAATGCTCAGGACAACTCCATACTCCGATAACATATGTCTTGAACATGTTCATCACCCAGACAAAAGACGCAACACACTCCCATGCAAAACGCCAATAGAGGATTAACCAACGATCGTAGTACCGTTCTTCCTCAGCCTCTTCCTCTCTTCAAGTCGTCTTCTTGCTTGCTCTTTGCGATCAACAGGCAGCATCTGGCTTCGGTCATGCTTCACTTGCGCAGAACCTTCTGCATGGTGTGCTGTGATTTTCGAGAGGTCAAACTTGTTGTCGGCGGGAGCATGGTGGGATGCTGCATTGATTTTTGACTCGTCCGACCTCTGTCTCTCCTCTCTCTTCGACGGAACGGAGGTTGCCTCGAGCTCTGAGACGTGTGTCGCCTTCTCAGTCGCACGTTCTCTGCGCCGTGTGGGTTCAGCCTTATGCTCGGGAACTGTGACCTTCTCATTTGACTTGGTTGTCTCTGTCGACTTTACGTGCGATACGGATTTCGACACTCGATGTTGCTTTGGTGGTGGGTTCCACTCAGGCCGTGAGTATGGCTGACCAGTAGAGACCGGTAGAGCCATTTTGTCCATTTGCGCTATCGAACTGTTGTTAATCTCCATCCAGGGATCAAGACCCGGCGATGGTACAGGCAGCGGACTGGACGGTGGGATCGCGGCAGGCGACTTTGGCGCATAATTCTCGTCAGTCGCGACTGGCCTGCGGATCTTCAGTGGCGATCTCTGCGGTTGCTCTTGCTGAGGCTGTGCAAGCGCCTTCTCCAGAGTGATCTCAAACGGTCGTGCCAGTGCACGAGGCGATCTGCCTAGAATGATAGAGGCTTCACCCTCTGCTGTTCCAAGTCTGGACGGGAGCACTGGTCGGTTCAATGTGTCAGGGATCGTACCACGGCGGTGACGGCGGGGCTTGGGCGACGAGTTCTCTTTGGTAGACGACGCCATGCTGTTATTGGGAGCGAATGACACTTCAGGATCCATATCTAAGCCACGCGTGGGCGATTGCGGGTTGTCCTTATTCGCATCTTCGTATATCTCGAATGGAGCTTTGTTCTGTTGAAGTTCAGAGGAAGGTACCGAGCCTGACGCTTCCAGGACTGTGATTCGGGCTTTCAGCGCTGCGATCTCGATACTCGACGACATGCTCTCGGCCATCGCTTGACGTAGCCTTTCCTGAAGATCCTTGTTCTGTTGTTCCAGGTCTCGCTCTCGTTGCCTGTATCGCTTGCGTTCCTGCTCGAGCTTGGTAGATAGTTCCGTAGCTTCGCCGTCCTTCTTCATAGCGAACTTCTTCGCTAGCTGTTGCTTGGCAATGACCTTCTTCATCTCCTTCTCGCTCTTGTCCGCGTAACTCTCGTATTGCTCCTTCCAGTATTTCCCAGACTCCGAACGTGGGGCACCCAAGTCTATTGTAATGTCGCTGTCGTCTCTCGCCTTCGGTTTCTGCCCCGACTTCGGCTGTGTGGTTGTCCGCGCGTCGAGGAGGGCTTCGGTGAGGCGGGTGCGCGGTCGTTTGTCACTTTCCGGGTCAAGCTTCAGTTGTGTGCCAGGTGTCCAAGGGCTCGGGAACTTCCCGGGGCAGTCACTGGGTATGCCGGTCTTGCCAATATTGCCGCGCTTGCCTTCATTGTCTACCACGTGCGACCCGAACGACACCTGCTTCCTTCCCTTGCTTGCGGTACCTGGCGTCATGAGGATGCCGCCTGGCTGTTTCGATGGCGAGATGGGCGGCCCACTCTCTTTCGGCGCGGGAAGGTTAAATGTTTTTGCGTTTGCTGCATCAATCCTCGCCTTCCTCTCGCTCTTCTTGGAGGCATCTTTCGCTTCTTCGGGTGCAGGCGTTCCAAATATGGCGTGCTTGAAAGCTTTGACGGCGAACTGATGAGCGGGAGTCTCGGGAGGTTCGATGAAGGTAGACTCGTAGTCATTTTCTAAGACTATTAGTACTTCTGAAGACGCGTAGCTCAGTGCGACAAACCAGGCTGGAGATGTTCTATCACGTTCGTGATGCGCGGACCGGTAATCCACGAGAACATGGCGAAGCGTGGGTCGTCGTCGTGGGGCGAGAGAAGAGAACTAAGAGGGTTGGTGGGAGGATGGGGATCGCATGCGCCGTGTGGATATTTCCGTGTGTTTGTTTGGCGGATTGTTTACTCGCGGAAAACGAGGGCTGAAGGTGGACTGGACGCTTTCGTGCACCTCGAATAGTTCCAGATGAGTCGCAAACACCTCCAGGATAGCATGTGACAAGCTGCTAGCGCATCGTCAGGGTAAGGGAAGGTGCGGTGCTGTTTGTTGTGCCTGCTCGTCGATCTCCAGGCATGAGGAAGTCGCGTCCGGCGGCTCTGCTGGCGCCTGCAGGGATGGCGCGGAAAGGAAGGGTAGCGGGGCGTCGCCAACATATCGCCCCCACCGACCGCTACTCGACGTGCGCTGGCCACAAAGTCTCTACATATCGCCATTCTCATCACTTTTCATTCACTACGAATTTTTAAGATCGAGATGTCTGCAGTGTGAAGGGCAGCAGCTGCGGCTGCTAGTCTCTCCGTCAATACCCATACTATATGACGGCCTATTCAATCAACCACCAGTAGCCCACTATGGCACCGCTAAGAACACCAAAGAACAAGAAACAAACGCACAATGCATCCACGCCGGGAGACGATGACATGGGCCCAACAAGTCCGCTCGGGGAACCGCGACCTTCGCTGGTCTCACACACCTCCGAAACCTACGAGAAGGCACAAGAAGATGAACGCGAAGTCTTGAAGGCTGTGTTCATGGACGACTATGAAGAATCAGAAGCCAAAGGAGCATGGAGCGTAAGTACAGAGGCCTCACTGTTGGAGTCGCCGTTCAGGTTCTACGCCCACACGGCCTAGAGACCTGCGGCAACGTACCCTTCAAGATGTGTTCAAGTTTTGCATCAAATTGTGCAGAATCAAAGTATTCATCACTGGACCTCCGCTAACTATATGGCAGAAAACTACAGATCGCGTATTGCGCGTCAAGTTGACGTCTTTCTCCAACGAAAAGATCTCCATCACGCTTTGTGCGAAGCTTACCGCTACTTACCCCAAGACCCTGCCCGAACTTTCACTGGAGGACTGTGGCAGCCTTAGAAAAAGCACGTGGGACAGGCTCTATGGCCTGCTCAAGTCTCGACCTCGTGAACTGCTAGGCGAGGTGATGATCTACGATATTGCGACGGCCATTCAAGAGATACTAGAGGACGAGATCGCTGTCCGCGAGACGGACGGTACCTACGAGAATTTGGATGCCGAGCGTGCAGTACAAGAAGCCGCTGCTGTCGAACATCTAAAGCAACAGGAGGAAGAGTTACAGAAGAAGCGTGACGAAGAGAAGGCTGAGGAGGAGCGTCTTTTGCAGCAGATGGTAGGTGACGAAATGCGCCGAAAAGACCTGTTGGCAAAGCGCAAAAAGCACCGTGTATCCGCCAATACTCCGCCTTCGTACTTCCCAAGCGCCGAGAGTAACAACTACATCTCATTCGACAGGACGATCGTTATCCAACACGAAGACACGACCATCCAATGCAGTGGCGTTGAGAATCCACTTCCTTTGCGTTCTGGCCCTTTGACCGAACAGCTGTTGGTAAAACCGGCCGGAAGCACAGCAACGCTTACATTAGTACTAAAACGTGCTCGGGTGGGCGGCGGAAACGCTGCTGCTGGCCCACAGCTCAAAAAAGCCGTTATGGAATTCGAAGACGAGATGGAAGAGCTCAAGCGACTGCGGCAAGGAGCCATCATGGCGGTGCTGGAGTTCAAAGTAGAGCATCTACCCGATTCAGGATGGGAGATTAGCATCCTCATGGATCACGCCGACAAAGGATCTCTAGGCGAGCGGCTCGCCGACGATGGACCCCTACCAGTCGCAAGAGTTCGTGCCTGGACCATCGAGCTTCTAGAAGCACTGGACTTCTACCACCGCAACGGTATAGTCCATAAGCGCATTCATCCTCACAACATCCTGTTCAAGAGATCGCCCGGAGGTGGAATCACAGTATTGCTAGCCGACGCCAGCTTTCAAGGCTCTCTTTATCATCTGCGAAGCTTGTGTTGGGATGAACAGCCGATGAAAATTGTAAGATCATTTTACTGGATAGCGCCCGAGCTGTCTCAGGATGCGCGTCACACCCGCAAGACGGATGTATGGGATCTCGGCGTCACGTTCCTTCAGATGCTCTTCGGCCTCGATGTGCCTGAAAAGTACAATTCACCCAAAGAACTGTCCGATATTCTTGGCTGCTCCGAACCGTTACAAGAAGTTCTGCGCAAGTTCTTCAAGCCCGACCCCAAGAAACGATCCTCAGCCTTTGACCTCATCCCATGTGAGTTCTTGCGCGACGATGTAGACGTATACGAGCGACCCTCCACACCCGTACGTTCGAGGAACTCTTCAACTTCATTAGGTCGGTATAGGCTGCGACGAGAGTCTTCCTCTGGTGTTGTTCCGTCATACTCACGATACGCGAATGACTGGGCCGAACAAGGTCGCTTGGGCAAGGGCGGGTACGGCGAAGTCGTAAAGGCCCGCAACAAGGTCGACGGTCGTCTTTATGCTATCAAAAAGATCAAGCAGAAGTCTGCCGCAGCGTTAAGCGAAGTCCTTTCGGAAGTCATGCTACTTTCGCGGCTCAACCACAGCTGTGTGGTACGTTATTACACCGCCTGGCCAGAGGCCGAAGCAGATGATTACTATGACTCGGCAACATCAGATGGCGACGAGTCTGACTGGGAATCGGACGTTTCTCCAGGCACGACTACGACTGATGGTGGCGGTCACGGCAGAAGCACTGGTGGTTTAGACTT